ACCATTGTTTTCAGAGTTACAACCAATTGAAATAATTATCGGTGAGTTTGTTTTTTTCAATTTCTCCCTCTGGTGTCGTAAAACAGGGATAAACCCACTTCTAAGTTATATATTTCAAAAATTCTAGTTGAGCCTCTGTACAGAAGTCTGAGCTATATATAGGCAAAATAGTATTATAATAGAAGCATTTTTCAAAAAAGGAGAATATTTTGAAAATGGGTCATTCTGTGTTCATTTTTTGTAAAAATAGTGTACCTAAATAATTTTTTTTATTGTAATACTATTCTTAAAACTATTTTGTATACATTTTCTAATCTAAGTGACACTAAATATCATAAATAGTATCCATTTATACGCTTTTGCAAAATCAGGGTTCCGAACGTAGTCGGATACCTTAAACATCTTCCTAGATGTGGTAGGCCGAGTATGAGAGAAACAGCTATTGAACATAAGATATCAGACTACCCTAAAATCATCATTTTTTTTTTTAATTTGACATTTTTTTTATGATTTTTTATATGCTATCATATTAGCTTTATAAAAAATACCAAAGTTTTTATTTCCCATTCTCTAGAACAAAAACTGCGAATGTTTTAGTAAAAGCGGATGCCAAAACTTTACATAAGATGTCCAACTTTAAAATGAGATTTTTCGAAAAATTCAAACGGGGACAGCGATTGCTCAAAGTTTTTAAAAGGGGTCTCAGGGGTGTTAAATTTTTCTAGAGGTCTGAAAATATAAACAATTTTCAAACAGGTATAATTCTTTAAATTTAGAATTAAATGATTCGAATCTTTTACACATTATTTATTAAGAATGGGGCTTCAAAAAGTATAGAATGTTTAAAATATTATCATAATTTTAAAAATCATAAGCATATGAAAATTCTATGATAAATATTAAGTATTTTTTGCGTTGCGCACGCTATTTTCTAAAATAGTAGCTTTAATTACTAGCTATAAGTTGAATAATAAAGTTAAATGTATTCTCATTACACTGTAGCTATTTTTATATCAATAGAATAATAACTTACATATTTTAATAAATAAAAAACATACATTTTTAAAAAATATTTAAAAAATTGCAATGTTTTACAAATATTTTGAAATACAAAAGACATATATTACTTAAATTAGGCACGGCTTAAAGAGTATGATGCATTTTATAATTCTATAAATTTTTATACATCAGATACTACTATTTTAGAAAATAGCGTGCGCAACACAAAAAATATTTATTATTTATCATGGAATTTTCATATGCTTATGATTTTTAAAATTATGATTATATTTTAAACATTTTATATTTTTCTGAAGCCCCATTCTTTTATAAATAATGTGTAAAAGATTCGAATCATTAAATTTAATTTTAAATGAGTTATACCTGTTTGAAAATTGTTTATATTTTCAGACCTCTAGAAAAATTTAACACCCCTGAGACCCCTTTTAAAATAATTTGCCGAAGTTTTTTTTGTTTTTTGTGTATGTTCTGTATAACATTAGAAGTGTTTCAACCTTCAAATTTATCCATCACTTTTTTATTACAAAATTTATAGTTCTTTATCTGAATATAATCACTTTTTAAGCAACTTCATATAATCACTAAGAAAAAAGTGTTTCTGTTTTGTAAAAAATTAAAATTTTTATTCTGAAGATCTTTTTAAAAAGGGAAAAACAGTAAAATTAAAAGGAAAAAAACGGGAGGATTTGTTAAAAAATATCTAAAAAAAGGGCCCCCTTTTGTTTTTTTGTAAATTTTCCCCAAAGTTTTTCCCTTTTTAAAAAAATTTTTTTTTCTTTTTTTAACTTTAAGTTTTTTTTTCTTAAAAAATACAAGAAACCCAAAAAACCAAAAAAATCCCCATATCTCCTTTTTTTAAAAAAAGGTCGCAAAAACGGATCCCTTTTTAACAGGGTGGGGGGCCCAGAAAAACCACTGTGACATTCCCCGGGAAAAAGAGGGGGGGCAGACGTTGAGATGTACTGAGTTTGGGGACGCTTTAAATAAATTATATTATTACCCCCATGTATTAAAAAAAAATTGTCATTTTATAATTGTTTTTTTTTAATATTTATTATACTGGTTTTTATTCACCCTATAATAAAAAAATTAAAATTTTTTTTAATGATATCTGCCGCAAAAAAATTTTTCCAACCAATTTTTAAAAAAAGACAAAAAACCATTTAAATTTTAAAAAATACAACTTTAAAAAAATGTTTTTTTTATTTTTAAATATAAATATATTAATTTACGTTATATCATTGTTTCATAATTTAGATATCATAACTTTTTATAAATTTTTTTGGGGATAGTTAGGGTCCCTGCAATTGACGAACAGTTTGGCGTTGTGAAGATCTCGGGGAAACCGGGTTTTTTCTTTTGGGGGGGGGGTTCCAGCTTTAATGTCACTTTTTAAACCCCTGTGGGACCAACATGCATTAAGGATCAAGGTCATCACGCGGGGGTGTATATATATATATATATATATATATATATTTTATTATACTATATATATATATATATATATAAATATCATTCAAATTTTCAAAACGTTAAAAAATATTTTTTTATTTATCCACTCCGTTTAAAAACGTTTTTTAAAAATTTGTATGACACTTGATGTTAAACATTTTTTTTAAATATTAACCAAATTAAAAAAGAATACATTGTAACAAAAAAAATAGTCCAACAAAAATATATAGAAAAAGGAAAAAATTTCGGTGTGTCTCTTTTAGCGCGATGTCCAGTTGGACTTCTAATCCAAAGATTGGGGGTTCGAATCCCTCCTGGGATGACCTAATTTTTATTTTATTAGAATAATTAAATTTAATTAATGAATAAATAGAAACAAACAAAAAAATAGTCAACACCTTATATAATGGAAAATAAAATGGGAAAATTGCGAGGAAAATCGCTTTCTATTTTGGCACTTAATGTGATTCTGCCCTATGTATATATAAATATTTATATTAATTGCATTTATTTAATAAAAAGTAACTAAAATAATTTTTTTTCTTTGTTGACAAAAGTAGGAAGTGATTTAAAAAAAAATTTATTACTTGTTTAATTTAAAGTATGCATTGTATATCGTAGACAATGTATATACCTTAATATAAAAAAGTAATATAAATTTTTTTATATTACTTGTTTATATTTTATTTTAAAAAATTGTCAAAAGTTAGTTGTATATATATATACACCTCATTTTTTCTTGATAAAGACTTCTGCAATATGTTGAGTCTGTCTATTTCAATTTTCCTATGTACTTTAGATATAAGTTCTCCATTTAATTTGAAATGGATATCAAACACATCAGAGAAATGCTTGAAATATCAAGAATAACAGAAAAATGGCGTTTTTACGACAAACGCAAACAAGAAAATTTTTATATTGCCTAAATTCAAACGAGGGGCCACTAAATTGCCTTCAGCAGGTCAATGGATGAAAACAGCTACTCTAAAGCAACCCGAGGACTACCAACCACGGACTTTGTAATTTTGAACCATGGTCAAGTGACGAAGACGACACCTAAGCTGGCACCCTCCTCTCCGAATTTCCCCACCACACTCAATAGAAGGACTTTGAGCCTCGACAGATTCATCATACATCAGCCGCTCTGCACAGCTGGAGGGCTGCGGTAGCCCAGCGGTCAGGGTATCGGATCATGGTAGGCATGTCATTAGTTCGAGCCCAGTACCACTAAAGACCCACCATGTAGGACAGCGATGCACGTTAAATCTGTCGAGAGCTGAAACGTCCTCCCGTTGGTGTGGTGTGGTAGTTAGGAGAGAGTGGTGCCAGCTCAGGTGTCGTCCACGTCACTTGACCATGGTTTAAAATTACGTGGTCCGTCGCCAAAAGCCCTCGTGTAGCTGAACAGTGCGACGTTAATATTCAGTCATTCATTCATTGTGCACGGCTGGTCTGTAGTGGCATTGGGGCTCCAGCTCATGACACACAGGCCACGAGTTTAAGACAAGGATCACTTGGCTACTACTATCTCGTGGTCTGTTGATGTGAACGTAAAAAAAAATCTGAAAATAGTTCAATTTAATACAGGGTACCATTTATATCAGGGATTTCCAAACTTTTTTTTGTCTCATAGACTGCTTGCCATATTTTTCG